ATGCCATTTCATGATTTTTTAAAAATTTTAGATTTAAAAACATAATTTTAGAATATGCTCATAACATTCTTAAAAATTCACTAATTTAAAAATTTTTTTTTTCAAAATGAGTGTTTTTAACTGAATTTTTTAAAAATTTCATGCGAAAAAATACACGGAGGAAAATGAATTGTTGTACTTACTAAACCTAAATTTTTTTTTGGTCGCTTTAACAAATCTGTATTGTTGCACTAACAAATTTGTTACTATGTAACAAAGTAGTTGTTATAACAGTACAAATTTATTGTAAGAAACAATAAAATTTGGTTGTAAGACTAAAAATTTGTTGCATATAGTAACAAATATATTGTTAGTGCAACAATACAGATTTGTTGTAGCGACAAAAAGAAAATTTGTTACTCTCTAAATCTAAATTAGTAAAAATGTTTACTAATTTGAATTAGTGACTCACTTTTTGCTTCTGAATTAGTAAAATTTTACTAATTATTAGTAAAATTTTACTAATTATTAGTAACTTTTTACTAATTATTAGTAACTTTTACTAACAATTAGTAAAATTTAACTAATTCTAAAGCAAAAAGTGAGTCACTAATTTAAATTAGTAAACATTTTTGCTAATTCAGATTTAGAGAGTAGTTCTAGGTTTAGTAAGTACAAGAATTCATTTTTCTCCGTGTTTAGTAAATTTTAATTTTTTGCATGTTTTTGAAAAGTTCGTTTTAAAGCCCATTTTGAAAAAAAAACTTTTAAAATTGATGCATTTTTATGAAAGTTATGAGCATCCAAAAAAAAATTGTTAAAATCTTAAATTTTTAAAAACTCATATCTCGTAGGAAAAAAAATCATGAAGCTCTTTTTTGAAAGGTATACAAAACGATTGAAAAATTTGAATCAAATTCATTTCAACATATTATGTTGAAATGGCATGGACCCCCCATATACATAGTTAAATTTAAAAGTCGTACTCGTTTTGAAACATCCCTGGAAATATGATTCTGAGATTTTCGAGAATCACTGTATACACGTTTAGATTTAATGTTACAAGCGAAGCAAAGTGTGGTCGATGGCGACGAGAAAGGGTGCTCTATAACTCTTTGAGAGGGACAAATCTAGGAAAAGGACGAATATATAGAAGGCCAAAGAGGGAGCTAGCGAGAGGCATAAATGTGAGATGGAGAGAGGGAATGTATAAGGATGGAATGAGTTGCACAAGAGAGTAGATGGTTACGAGCGTGAGAACAAAGAGGAGAAAATAAGTGGCGTTTTTCGAGGGTGATCGGAGCAGGGTAGGCACGGGAAACGAAGATGAAAAGAGATGGAGTTATATTTAGGTTGCAAGGGAGTGAAAAAGCGCTGCCCCGACTCGAAAAGAGGGAGAGAAGGAATATTTGTTTCAGTGACGTCCAACATATATTCTTAACCCTCTTCTTTAAACAAATTTTAGATAAATTTTCATTATTTCAATTAGCATTTGATAGAATTCTAATTAAATTTCAATTTAACAGAATTCCATTGTTTTATATAGAAAATTTTTCCTCCTATCTTTACGGATTTTTATTCTTATTAGATTCAATTATATTTGTATAGAATTTTATTTAAAGTTGACATTTCTTTATTAAAAAATTCGTGAGAAAATTTTGAAATAAACTCAGTGAATTTGAACTCTCAGTCTTTGGAAATGTTGGCAAAAGCGGAAATGCAAACACTCAACTGTGTGGTAAGAGGGTTTTGGCTTACCGATGGTCCACTACTACTTACAGTATCCGTTAAGTGAATACAACAGTTGTTCCTTGCACAGTCAGCCTTGAAACCTCAAAACATTAAATTGCTGTTTACCACGTGTCATTGCAGATTACCATAAAAATTGTGGAGATTAATTTTTTTCGCATTTTCTGTTAAATAATATAAATTTGTTAGTATCAAATTCTTTTATTTGAATAATGAATATTTTGATAAATTAATGAATAATTGTCTTGATTCCTATTTCCTTATATATTGGAATATTTACTAGTCGCTGTTAGAGTGTCTATTGTTGTACAAAATCGATTCCTAGGACACTCACCTTACTGAATTTTCAATGAAGATGGTTCTTATGGCACTTAACGATCAATTGATTCAGGTCTGCGTCTTCAGGACTTGTTTCAACTTCGATTTCATGGGAATTAGGGTCATTTTCCGAGTTGAGATATATATATAGAAGAATATCAATTTCATTTTGTGGAGGAAATTGAAAATTCTAAATTCTTTAACATTTAAATTTGAACAAATTAAAATTCGTCGTTTTAAGAATTCGGTAAAATCAAAACAAAATTTTTTTACTAGATTTTTGAGGCTATACGAAAGTAACTATTAACACTAATGGTACTTTTAATTATATATTGCGTTAATGGTTGTAGATGATAATAATTTATTTTTGTAGATAATATATATAGATAAACTCAAAAATTATAAAATATTAATTAATTCTCCATTCATTCGTTGTCAGTTTTTTTTCCACCGAAATGGAGGTTATGCAAATCTTCATTTACCTATATATAGTAAATAATGTGAAAGTCACAAAAATCAAGCAGTCGCGGTAATATTTACCCGCATAATTTCTTTATGGCATTTTGAGTTCTTAGTAAACTTTTGGTATCTTTTTCAATTATTTTTATTGTTTTCTTGTTTTTAATGTATCATTTTCCATTTACTTATTTTTTGCTAAATTAATTTATATTTAATTAACATTATCAAAATTTATCAATTTTAATTTGACAAATTCGTGAATTTTAGCAGTTTTCGAATGCTATTTAGCTATAATTACTGCGACAAAGGATTAAAAGCATAGATAGAGGCGCATGTAAATTACTGAATGCTATTTATCATAATTTTAATTCAATAGAATTGTCATTTAACCAAATTGATATTTAATCGAAATATCATTTTAAAGGAATTTACGCATACTTTACCGTATTAAATTTTAACTGAAGTCATTTGAAAATATTTTCTTTTATCCAAATTGTCATTAAACCGCAAATTATCACTGAAAATCTTAGCTGACTTTCTGCTTCAGGAATTATTTTAAAAAATTACTAATTTTAGTTAATACTTATTTTAAGTTGAAAAATAACAAAAATGGACTGAATTTTAGTTATTTTAACATAACTTAATAGTAAATTTAACTAATTTTGTTATTTTTAACTGAAATATTAGTAGAATTATTACTAGTTAAATAATCAGCTCTCTAAATCTGAATTAGTAAAAATGTTTACTAATTTAAATTACAAGCTCACTTTTTGCTTTAGAATTAGTTAAATCTTACTAATTGTTAGTAGAAGTTACTAATAATTAGTAAAAATTTACTAATTCAAAAGCAAAAAGTGAGTCACTAATTCAAATTAGTAAACATTTTTACTAATTCAGATTTAGAGAGAGTAACTTTTTTTTTGCTATCAAATTAGTTATTTTTAACTAATTCAAATTTACAAAGTATATAAGTTATATATTTATGATTATTTTACCTTGATTAAAATAGGTTAAATTATACTCTCTAAATCTGAATTAGTTAAAACTAATTGTTGGTAAAATCTTGGCTGACTGTTTGCTTCATCAATTAGTAAAAAATTACTAATTATTAGTTAATTAATTTTCAGTGGAAAAATATCAAAAAATAGTCAAAATTGACTGTGTAATTGAATTAGATACCAGAAATTACAGTTATTTTAAGATGAACTAAAAGTGAATTCAACTAATTTAGTTATTTCTAACTAAAGGATTAGCAGAAATATTACTATTTGAATCAATACACCGAAAAAACAATATTCTGAAATTTAGAATATATACTTGGGGGACCTATTTTATAGAATATTTTATACTTAAATTAAGTATGTAATATTCTTAAAATTAGAATATATTCTAGGTACTTAGTATATATTCTGAGTATTTAGTATATATTCTTAGGATTTAGAATATATACTAAGTACCAAGAATACAAGGGGGAATTTACTCAGGTAGTCAAGTGTATACTCTTCCTGTAATACTTGTGTAATAACGTGTAATAATGCGTTATTACGGTGCTGTAATAACGCAAAAAAGTCTGTAATATCTCTGCAATAATGTGTACTAAACTGTAATAACGTGTAGTACTTAGTAATAAGGGTAATATGAGGTGTATTACCAGTAGTCAAGTGTACACGTTTTCAACTAGTAAATTCCCCCTCGCAAGAATATATATTCTAATTTTAAGAATATTACATACTGAATTTATAAAATATTCTAAAATATAGGTCCCATAAGTATATATTCTAAATTTCAGAATATTTCTTTTTCAGTGTTACTGACTTTTTGTTATCAAAGTAGTTATTTTTAACTATAATTCATTGTTATTTTTAAGTTAGGTAAATGTTTTTTTTTCTTGATTACTATCATAATTCTCTCGAATCTTAAAATATTTTATGTTACCCTATTTAAGTAACAGATTAAAACTGATCTCTCCAACGAAAAACCCTTTTATCGCAATTATCTTGTTTGTTAAGGGTAACTTTTATGTTTATAGATCTAGGATATTGAAAAAAAGAAATATTTTCGTAAAAAAATGTTTAAGTTTCGATACTCAAAGCTCATGTTGTCCAAATTCAAGGGGCAAGTCTTCAATATACCTGAGAACGGTTTTTCAACCCTCAGGATATACTGAAAGGTGGAAAAAAAAAAAAAAAAAAAAAATTTGAAGCAAACAATAGAGAGAAGCTTTCTACCCCTCTTAGAGAGTCAAGAAGAGCTGATGATAGTTACGCCACTGAATTCCTCTCTCTCCCTCTCTCTGTGTCAGAAGTGTAGAGGGTGAAAGAGAGGGGAAGAGGGTTGGGGGCTGAGGGTGGGGGAGTGAGCGAGAGGGAGGTGCGGGCGAGAAAAGGACGAATGGATGGAATGAGCAACGTCAGCGAGTTGATGATGATGGTGGTGGTGGTGGTGGTAGGATCACGAGCGGTGGTTCGGTTTGGTTGAACGAGGGCGCACAAACGGGCGACTGCTGCCAAGTGGTGAACGGGTCCGTGAACGAAAGAAACTGCTCTGCTGCTGTGTGTGCTAGGTCTCTCGTCGGGCGTAGGCGAGCGAGAGAGAAAGAAAAATTCCGTGCGACGACCGTGTGGTGGCGCAGCAGAAAATCACTGAGTGCTGACATGGCGTCCTAGCGAGAAGTTCGCCCCCATCGTTTGGAATACACACACAAATCCGTCTCAAGAATGTCAAGGTAAGGAGGATTTACACGAATTGTGATAGAAAAAAAAAAAAAAGTTCGGATTTGTGCATATTGGTTGTCGTGTCCGATAAACGCAAACAAAATACGTGGCTTTCGTGTCCGCAAGGCAGAGGCAGGGTCGTTGCCATCGTCCTACCTACCCTGCCTTCGTGAATCGATTTATTTTTAAAAAAGGAAAATAAAATAAATTTGTGGCAGTGTCGTTTAGATAATTTTCCGAATTTTTTCCCCCCTTGTGTGTTATTAGTTCGCGAGTGTAAGTGTTGCTTTCATGTGTTGAAAAAGGGTTATTTGGAAATATTTCTTCCTAAATGTTTTTGCTGAATTTAGAAATGAAAGTGTATTTCAATAATAAGTTGAGAAAAATTTAGAAATTATTGTTAAATCAGAGGTGTTGAATTTTTAGCTGAGAGAGGGTTGCGTAAATCCTTGTAGCTCTCTCTCTCTCTCTCTCCTTCTCGCAGACCAGCGCTCTGTCCCTCCTCTCCTCTCATCGTGATTTCTCTCTCTCTTGCAGTAACGTATATTTTTGCTCCCTATCTCTCTCTTTTTGTGTTTGGTATGGCGCTGTCCGTAGGCGCCGATACGCCTTGGGGTGCCTACCGAGCGCTTTGCTCGTTCGTCCATCCTCCGATCATCCTCCCCCGACCCATGCGCCCATTCACCAGGTTCCCCCCTCCTGCCCCCCTGTCGTCATCATTTCTCTCTTCACTTCTATAGGATTCCATAGTCGTTGAGATGTATTGTTGTCACTGTAATATGCTTCTTTCATTTCCATGGAGCGACAAGTGTCGGGCACCGTAACAGGTGAGTCGCGATTGGTGCCGCTCCTCTTCCTACTTTCGGAACGATGATTCTCTTGGACACAACATATATACACAGACACATGTGTGTATGTATATTGGATTTTTTTTTTTTTTTTTTTTTTTTTATTCTCTTTTGCAGTCAGCTTTCTTTCTCACGCTATCTTCACAAGTGCGCACGATTCCTAAATCGCATAACTTGTGTCACACTAATGATTTTCATTTGTATTTGTCACATACTTGTCTCTCTATCAGGTGCTGATAACATTCTCAAGGAATTTTCCCAAAAATTTCACATATTATTCAATTAATAATGAATTAGTTTCCAAATAATGAGAATAAATCTAAACTCGTATTTATTTCTAAATATTATTTTCCATTTTCATTATTGGGAAATATTTAGATTTAATTGGATTCATTGTGAAGAAAATTGAGAGGGGTCTTCTTTTTTTTGTTAGTAAATAACGTTTCTTGATATATATTTTTTTGTTTGATAAATGTAACTCGTATATATATATATATATATATATATACTAAAAACATCCTGCAGTTTCGTAATTGCGTTACCGAGTGTGACGTAACTTTGGACTTGGAGGATACTAAAAGGAATGTTACTCATGCACTGACACGTTTCCAGCATAAATCACCCACGCATACAGACAATCTTTTTCCATTTTAACAAATAATTTTATCAGCAATCTTTGACAGTAAACAATTTTTTTTTTTTTAAATTCCAAGTTGCATTTTGTTGAAATCCTTTTCTGGGTTTATTTTCTTTTCTGAACTCATTTTTTTTTTCGAACCTTGACTCTTTTTTTTTGCAATTATATCTGATACGTTGTTGATTTACAAATGTTCCAGTTAAATAAATATGGCAAGGATGAAATTTTCACTGAAAAAAAATGTTAGACTCCTAGTCACGAGAGGAACCAACTAAAAATAAGAGTTACATTAATGTAACTCTGATTTTTAGTGGGTTCCTCTGGTGACTAGGAGCCTGGGAATTTTTTTCAGTCTTGAAAAAATTGACTTTTATTAAAATAAAAAGCGTTAGTGTATTATATGTTTATGTGCTAACAAAGTTCCTCTGTTATTTTATTTTTTTGGGGAAAAATGTTCATCATTGATTCTTTTAGTGACGTGATATTTGACTCTTTTTCAAGTCTTAAACTTTCGAAAACGGGATATCTTGAGCAGGGCGGTGTGTAATGGAGAGGGGGTTAACCCCGTTAAGCCATAGCATAAAGCAACTCAAGACGACGACTTCTTCTTCTTCGTCTCTTTGGTAAAAAAAAAAATCATCAACTCCTTAGGAGGTCGTCGGGAAAAATTTCCTGTACGCCATCAATCGCTTTATTCGCCACGTGTTTCATTCGATGTGCGACTGTTTATACTCTTGTGTCACTCTACTTCTCACAATAATAATAATAACGTATATAATGAAACTGTTGACGAAATAATCAAACGCAATCAAGTTTTCAAAATCAGAAAAATCGTCTGCTTTATCTACTTTTCAAAAAAAAAGGGAATATTATATCTGTACGCAGATTTTCCAAAAGTCCACACGCAAAAAATCCCATTTGTACGAAAAGTATTCTTAAAAACTAAAAGATCTGAGGTCTCAAATAAATTAATTTCATCAGATTTTATTCTCTAAATCTGAATTAGTAGTTTTCTACTAATGAAAGAGTGCGGATTCGTTTACCAATTGAATTAGTAACAGTTTTGACTCTTTTTTAGTAGAAAACTACTAATTTATGGAGTAAATCGTATTTTTTACTATTTTAAATTACTAAGCCGATTTACTCCATGAATTAGTAGTTTTCTACTAGCAATTAGTAGTTTTCTACTAAAAAAGAGTCAAAACTGTTACTAATTCAATTGGTAAACGAATCCGCACTCTTTCATTAGTAGAAAACTACTAATTCAGATTTAGAGAGTAAATTAGCCTCCCTACTCATTCTGTTATTAATCAAAGTATGAATACCATAGTTCGTTCTATGAAATGATAAGGAAAATAATGTATAATTTTTAGTTATTCTCGTAGGAACCAAAAAATTAATCATAGCACTGAGATAAATTATTGTACAGGGTAACATAATGATTGTACTGGTGATCGTATTTAATGCTACAAATACGAACAGCAATCTAGATTGTTAAAAATTTGATTGTACGGAGTAACATAACAATAGTTTTGTAACATCTTTAATATAGTACCCCAGTGGTCACAGGGACATTGGATGCCTTTAAGACATCTTTACACACTAAAAAATAATAATTACTTTCAGTTCCCTTTTGACTAAAACCGTTAACATTAGAACCATTTTTACTGAATTTCAGCCTTGAGTGTATGATTTTAAGTCCTAAAATTGACTTAATCTAGTTTTAAGATAAAAATTACACTAGTTTTAAGGCATTTTGATTTTAAGATGTTAATGGTTTCAGTATTTGTTTTTTGTGTGTAGGACGTATTTTGGACGTCTATGTCTGTCGAAAGAACGTCTTAAAGGCATCTTATGTCCAAAAAACAACTTTAGGACATAAGATGTATTTAAGAAGTTCTCTCGACAGACATAGACGTCCTAAAGATGTTTTAAAGATGTCCCCATTGCCCACTGGGACCTATAGTAGCATAGATATTGTACCGAGTAACATCTACTTTTTAACATCAAATTTTATCAAATAAATATTTATTTGTATCAAATAATTATTGAATAAATTAAATGGTATTTGTTTCTATAATACAGAAATTATTGGTTCAAATACCGGTTTATTTAATTCAAAAAATATTTGTTTCAAGTAAATATTTATTTGATAATAGTCAGGTAACCGATTATTATTTGAGTCAAATAAATGTTTTAAAAAAAAACCCAAAAAAAAAAAATGTCGAGCGAGACTTGCTGCGGTTAACACACGATTTTCACTATATATGCGTCGTCGTCCCACGTGTTCTGACGGTGAATTTACATTCGGCTTCCTGCGGGTTTTCGTCGATTAAAATAGCGTGACGATTTTATCATGAGACCCGCGAGGGGTTGAAACGTTCATTATTGTGGTGCGACGGACAAACTCGAGGAAAAAGAAAAAAAAAAGTAGGGAACGAGCTCTGTTACAGTCCTGATGTGGGATATACGAAAATATACTCCTCGCACATGTATACATATATGCACTCGTTGTCTCGAGAGCCATGATAGATCAGGGGAGAGGAGCTCAATTCCTATTTCTAACTTTATTTCATTCCTGGTTGAAGAAAATTTTACCCTATTTTCTGTTTTTTTTCTCTCTCTCTCTAAAAAAGAAAATAAAATCAAAGAAATAATGGAAAATAATAATTATTTATCGACACTGTTAAAAAAGAGGAAAAAAAATGTGGGGTGTTTTCTGAAGCGAAAACTCCATATCCGTGTGAACTTTCGATATAGTTAATGATCATTCCCATACAAATAATACCATTTTTATGGGGGTGTTTAATGGGGGCGTTTCGAATTTCTAATACGTACATTTTTTTCCCCAAATATTGTATAGGGGGTTGTGATTTATGTGTTTGGTGCTGTAAAACTGGCTATACATGGAAATTTTATCTTATATCTGTAAATTTATGGTTCTCATGGAATTTTTACAGGACCCATAAAATCTAAGACGCATGAAATTAATTTGATAGAATTTCATTAAATAAAATTTTCTTTTAGTCAAATTTTTATTCAAATTATTTTTTCACTGAATTATTTAAAAAAAAGTTTTCTAGAATGTCGTTTTCATTTTTTTTTTTTTTTTTTTTTTGGTGTAATTTATTGTATAATGGAGGATTTGAATATATATATGGGGCAAAAGGAAGAGACAATTGAAATTAGTTGCTGTGCACAATACAAGTTTTTTCCATTCTGTTAATTGTACTTGTCTTGTATTTATGATTCATTCTTAAACGTGAAATAATTGCCTCTGACCTGAGTAGCCTTTTAATCTCGATAAAAATCAATCGAGTTTAAAAGCCGTTATACTCTCGTAGTTTCTTTCACGTAACTGATTCATATCCCTTGAGACATTTCAAGGAAATTTGTCCTTAATCATCTCCTTAATGAATTCACATTTTTTCCATATCAATAATCATTTAGCAAAAAGCAAATATCGATATTTATATATATAGTCATTATATAATTACTTTTCAAATTATTTAACAATTTTAATTTT